TTTTTAAGTGGAGAGGGCGGGTGTTTTCAAACAGTCACAAAAATCCTCCACTATACCTTTAAGCTGAGATTTGACCATTAACCAGACTCTGCTCTGCAGCACCCTGGGATATGCATTATGAGGAAACATAGGAGAGTTATCCCCCTATAGTTGGAACATACCTTCCGGTGCCCTTTCTTATACAGTATAGGGGAACCACCACCCCATTCTGCCAATCCAGGGGCACTGCCCAGACCTTCATGTGATGTTGAAGAGGCTTGTCAGCCAAGACAGCCCAAAAACATTGACAGTTCTAAGATCCTCTGTCCCGATCTCCTCCACCCCTAACCACCTCTGTGACTTCAGCCTGAGTGATGAACGAATATGGCCCTGAGCATCCCATCTCTTCTATCACCACTGAAGGCTTGTAAGACTGATTAAGGAGATCCTCAAAGCATTCCTTCCATCTTTTAAGGATGTCCTCTTTCAAGGTCAGTGGCTCCCCACTCCCACTGTAAAAAACTGTAAGCAAAGCACTGCTTTCCCTTCAGGAGGCGCCGGACGGTTTGCCAGAATAGCTTTGAGGCAGATAGTCTTTTTCCGTGGCCTTTCCAAACTGCTATCAGTCCCAACTGTTTCTAGCCGGTATTGCTCCACCTACTGCACAAGCTCATGCTTATTCACCCCCAGCGAGGTGACATTCTATGTCCCCAGAGCCGGTCTAAGTACTTGCAGATTGGGTCACCTCCGCCTCTGACTGCCACCAAATCCTATCTCCACTGGTCATTGGTTCTGGTCACTCATGGTTAGTTCCACGGGAGGGACCCAGCCACCAGGCCTGAATCTAGTGTGAGGTACCGGTTCTGCCGTACTGGGCAACGTCTCGTGCCACAATGTTTTGGTCATCATGAGAGCTTTGCGAACTGCTCTTTGTCTCACCCGCCACCCACAGCATGTTGGCCTTGGTGGACCCTACCTGGAGCATTTGAGCCCCCGACAACATAACCCCTGGGATCGTCCAGGCACCGAAACCCCATCCACCACATTTGGGTGGTGGTCCTTCATATCAGAAAATTACATTAAATCTATGGAAAGGCATAAGGTTAGTAATGTAATGATCTTGGGGGGTCTTTTTTTCTAAAAACTAGAAAACGTGCAGCAAGTGATGGACTCAAGACTTCTGTTTCTAGAAGTCTTGAAGAAGAGCCTCCTGAAAAAGCTGTTTGACTGGTTATGTTTAAACAACAGGACAATAATCTAATTCACACAAGGAAGTCTACCTATTAATGACTAGAAAAGCAAAGAAAAAAAAAAGGATAACCAAGATTTTTGTAATGACCTTTCCCCTTAAACAGGTCATACATGCTAAAAAATCCTTTAATGGGTTTTACTAAAACACAACCATGATGTAAAAGACTAATTTCCCGTTCCTGCAAATGGCTGTTCCTGCCACCAAGGATGTGAAACCTAGATGATAGAGTTGGGGGACTCATAATTCTTAAAGAGGGCCAGGTTAATCCAGGTAGCTTCGAAAAGCTTAGTCTAATAATCCGTCTTAAATATTTGAATTTATTTACTACTTTGAAACACTTTCTTGTGACAAAAACTGAAATCTGTGAGCTGGATATTTTTTTTTCCACAGCACCGTGTGCCTTAGGAGTGGTTAATCTTATAGATGTCAAAATGTGCAAAAAACATACAAGAAAAGCGCACTCCGACAAAAAATAGAATTGACACCGGAGGAAAGTCTGTCAAATGTGACACACCAGCTGAGCACGCTGCTGTGGGAATTCTGCAAAACACTCACAAAGAGGAAGCTGTGTTTTTCCTACTTGGCTGTCATGAATGTAGGTCTGCCAAACTGAGCAACAACAAAAAAAAAACTCTGCTGAAAGTATTACATAAATAAGTATTCTCTGAGATTTTAAATCCTAAGACTGTGGCTCACAGGCGGCTGTTTAAATTGCATCAGTTCCTCTGATGTAACTGCGTATAGTCCTGAACTCCCTGAGAGGTTTTAGTCATTTATTTTGATTAGGGCTGTATTTATAAGATTAGTCTCCAAAATAAGTCACTGGGGAGGATGGGTTGGCAAGGCATGTGGTGGGGGAACAAAATTAAGTCTGTTTGATCATTACAAATTCATACATTTCTGCTTGTCAATTAATTAGCTGCTTCCTGGGTCTGTGTGTCCCTTTCTTCAATCGTAGGGGTCTGGTTCTCGGTGGACAAAAACCCACGGTGCATCCATTGTATGTCTAAGCAGCAGCTCAGCGTAAGGCAGCTGGCGAACAGTAAATAAAGATCCTTGAAAGGAAGGGAGGCTTTCAAGAGCAAGCCTCTTTTAACTCATGCCATCTGATTTCTGAGAGCACTGTTTGGCTTTTTGATGGTTTTAATTTGCCTCGTTCTTTCCTGAACAAACCCAAACAAAAACTAGGAAAGGACATCAAATTATTTATGAAATAAGAGCAACTTTTGAATTGTTCTATTTTTGCTTCATGGCAAAATGGCCTCTGTTGTTATGAAAAGGTGTTCTTGTATTGAGGGATTTCATAAAACAGATACCTATACCTGTGCCTTTCTCTGGAAAGATTGAAATAAGGTAAATAAAATGTACACTGCATTTTTTTTCTGGTATATTACAGTGCCAAGTGAAATATAAAAAAAAGCCTCGATATTAAAAATCAAAATGTCCTCTATACAGTCATCAGCATAAAATAATTGATTTTCCAAAATCATTAGTGCACTTTTATGCAATCCTAACAATTCATACCAACCAGTCATACCAAAAAGTCTGGTAATGTACCAACGTTTTTAATTTTTATCTTATAACTTCCCTAAATCCCTGAAGACAAATTTTTAAACTGTCAAATATGGGGGAAAAAAAACAGAGATCATGTAATTCTGACACGTGCCATTCATGCTATCTTTTAAAGTAAATGGCTATTGGTCTAAGCCTGTTTGTATGTAAAGTTTGAGCAATAATTGCAGTTTTAAACACCTGGAAATATGATTGGCTTGAGTCCTTCTGACAGTGAATAGGGGAAAAAATGAGGGTAAGTGTAAGTAATGATCCTACAGTGGAGGATCATGCAAACATAAGTAAAGAGTATAAAACGTGATCTGTATGCTCTAATCTTACAAATTAAATTGGGTTCCAAAAAAAAAATTTATTTCTTGCATGTCTTTTTATCTCAGGTAACTCAACACACCAAATAAGTGCTTAGCGTGCTGCAAGTATTGGTGTGCCTAGTTTTGTCTGTAACGCTTTCTTTTACAGTACATTGCTATGTTATTTTATGGTAATAACATAGAAAGTTATGCTATATTACTAGGTAAAAAGAAAAACTTTATGGAGAATTTTGGTCGCGCTTCAAATTTCAGGCAGACAAGGTCAAGTTTGACTTCTTGATTTCAAACAGTTAAACTCTTATTTATATATATAACTTGAGTTCAGTTTTATATTCCTTTAGTTACTTGATCGTTACTTACAATTTACTTTATAAGCCGTAAGTAGGTGGTGGCCATTGTTACATAGTAACATATAATTGTAATAATTACATGCAGGTAATTACTTTGAAATTATATACCTTAATTTTAGATAATTAACAAATAAAGTTTTTCTTGTTACTGTGTAATCTGATGTGACTATCTTATTACTATGTTATTACATGGTTATTGGATTACTGTAAAGAATGTGTTACTGTTTTGTCCTTTCTCTGCTGACTGTCCATAACATTTGGCAGCATTTGACCCTTTTATACAAAATAACATTAAACAAAAACTACAACAGAGTACAGATGCATGCAACACTTTTCAGAACCCTTTTTTTTTTTTTTTTTTTTTAACAATTAAATGCTAATCTTTATTGCAGTTTCTAATAAAAGCCCCTTAATGTTTTTTTTATTTTATTTTTGGATTGTGATGTATAAGAACATAAAATAGTCTGAAAGGTTTAAACACCTTTGCATGGTCCACAAAATTAGATTACAATAAAGCTTTTACTTTAAGGGAAAAGAATCTTTTCATCCGAATTCTTAAGAAAGCACGTCAGAACCGGTACTCTTCTTCTAAGGTGGTTTGTCTTTGCCTTCAGTCCAGTCTGTCAGAAAAAAAGAAAAATTTGAAACGCAAATACAACATGAAAAGTCAGAGTGATCTTAAGCAGGTTTTTGTTCCCTTCAGAAGCTGTGAGTCACATTGCATTTGGCAACACCTCTCACTTGCACAGTTGAGTTTGCAGTCTTGTTTTTCCATAGAGGAGAAGATGACAGCATGTGGCATGTGACAACTTATCAAATCAAACCCACATTTCCTCTTTCCCATATGTAGGACTCTTCTCGTTAAGTTTCCCTCAGTGCTTTATTTTCCTATAGAAAACATTCTACTCTTTTATTCCCTTGAGCATCAAATAAGAACATTAAACAATTGAATAAAAATAAGCATCTTCTATTATCTATGTAGAACGCCAGCTATAGACAAATTGTTTTTTAATCATTTTGCCCTTATTTTACTGTTGCAGCCTAGCAGTCAATATTTACTCTAGGAGGCGATTATCTGCACTGACAACATTTCAGACGCCACAGAATCAGAATATGACTATTTAAAATAAACTGTAGCATCTTAAAGGGAAAATTAAAGAGCTGAAAGTGTTTTGGCTTTGCCTGGATTTCCCCTGTGACCTAAAAACAGAACACAAGCATCCAAGCATGTTGTCTTTCATCATTAAACTGTCTTTGGAAAAGCTCCTGAGAGCAGCTCCTGGAGCACAGCAAGAGATTCCTTGTACTCCGAAACATCAAGTGTCGTCAGCGTCTGCTGGGAGGTGCATATTAGAGTCATGGACTTGAGCTTTAAAGATCTTTGAAGAAATAGACAACACTTTGGCTGTCTTTTCACACAAACTTGTTGGTTTCCTCGTTGCTTTATAAAGTAACACATTTGATATCTAAGGTCTACTAAGTGTATAGATCTTTGACCTTGGTTTCTCACTCTCTCTGCCTCCATTTTGCTCACAGATCAAAGATGCCTACAGTGCCCCAGGTGGTCTCATGAGTGAGGATCCTCACTTAAAGGCAGCTGAGAGAGGTGAGTTATTAAACCTCAGCAGAACATCCTTGACTCAAATGCGCTTTTGTAGAATACGTCTTTCTTTTTTTAATCAAAGATCCACTTACAGTAGAATCTGATAGTTCAGTCCCACCATTACAAATATACATCAGTCTATTGGGATAATGATAATCACGTTACCCTCACTTTTTTGATATACTGTTTCTGATAATACATCCATTGACCATGTGAGGTGAGTTCTTTTCAAAAAGGCTGTAAAAATGGCTATGTCCTTTCTTTAAAAAAAATGTAAAGGCTGGATTGTAGTTTTTTTATGGGTGTCTAAATTGGTTAGAATGTTCTTACCTTCCATTTAAATGTGATTAGAAGCTCTTTTAATGTGGATCCAAATACTGTATAAGGAAATCAGACACATTCTGTGCTTCATTAGGTCCTATCATACAGCACTGTGAATTGCTTTCCTCTGTTTCACCTTTTTTTCAAATGTAAATGTTTAAGATCATCAGTATGTATAGAACACAGCTGTCAATAGAATTCCCACATTGTAAAATCAAGAATTTCTTTCATTAACCATATTTTTTTGTTTCAATTTACAAGCCAGACCTGGGCTTGATTACCACATAATCTAAATAATTGATAAATTATATAAATAGAACCTATAAATAGAACATAATGTGGACTAAAATGTCTTAGAAAGCAAGGTATTATATATAGATGTAAAAAAACAGATTTGATATAAAGTCATTGATAAATGTTAGACGGAAATACCAAAATTACCTCAAGATGTCATTAATGACTTATTTAGATTCTCACAAAGGACTCATCTAAAGAAGTACAGGTCTTAGTTTGCTCCTTCTTGCCATTCAAGATTCAAGGGCAAGATTATTTTATTTGTCACAATAACAAGTTTTGCCTGACGAATCCCGGGAAGAGTGTGAACTTGCATCAACTAATTTTTTTTTTTTATCTCATGCGCTGTCTCTGCAGCTGGAGCCACAGACTGACTGATTGACTAACAGACTGACTTTCAACAGCACACCTGGATTACAAATGCACAGAACCTGCACCTTGTTCAGTATGAGCCCAGTGTTGCTATTAGCAACATTAAGGGAGAAAACCGTTAATAGCAAGATATCTGCTAGCCATTCACCAGAAATTTACATTTAGATAAAAAAAAACTGTGTTTTAAAACTGCAGAGCTTATGGAGGCATCACAGACAACACTGTATTTTTTAAAAGAACACAATGAAAAAATATAAAAAGAAAAAAAACGTAACACTTTTTTTTTTAAATTAGTTGTATTGCTCCGATTAATACCAAGCATTTCAATTATATGCCTCATATCAAGTTTACTGCAACTTGTCTGGTTGTGGGTGGCTGTGTCAACAATGTTTAAAACACTTTTAACCTATAGATGTGTTGTATTCAATGAATATATGTTTAATGCCAGCACAGGAATGCTATTTTATGTTATGCAATAACTTCACATTAAATGCTCATCCCAGTAGGGGTGGAAAATATGTTATTTTATACAAATAACTTTCTGTGATCCATTGTTCTGTGAACACACACCCAACTGTGTGTGAGAAAAACCAAATGAAAGGGTAAATCACAAAGACAGTCCACGCGGTAAATTAAACCTTTTTGGTAAAATGTTAATGCCTAATGCTTTATCAAAAGTCAATAACTTTACCTATTATTAGCTTTATATGTTTGTTCTCTATGGAATAATCAGTGGTTGGAACCCTTTTGGCTTCTTTAGGCTTGGCCTATGAACCAATGGAGCTAGTAGCTAGCGGACACAAGGGAACTAATTTAAAAAGGACTGTTTTGTCATATTTGGTAATCAAATACAAAATGCATGAGGAAACACAAAAAATATATTTATATTAATCTTTAACCCCTCAGTGAAATAAGGTTTGTTTTAGCTTTACAAACAACAGCAAACAAGGCAGCCTGTGGTACCATGTGGTCACAATTAGCTTCTTGTTAGTTTGCTTTACAGAAGAGTAAACTCATGACATATTCAAATATCCTCAAAAACCCAAATTGTTTAGCTTTAAATGCTTTCCCTAACTTTGCCAGAGCTCTAACCACTGATTATCTCCGTTTTGGAAAGGTTCGACACCCTCACTGTTCAGAATTTTAGCCATCAGGCCTGCAGCATGAAAGCTTATGTCCTCTCTTCTTACTGTAGATGTTGCACACCTCCGGTTTCTTGTACCTCAAGGTTTCCTTTAAACCCAGATAGAAATATTGCAGAATGGTCTGTTTTTGCAAGAATGAGTTCTGAGAGGTACACATTACCTCTGATCGATCTGCAGATTTTGGTCCTTGGCTTGTTTGGCCTTTATTAATGATGACTGTCCATTGTGGACCTTATCTTTAAGGAGATTCACTGTAAAAAAGGATGATACCTGCATGAAGCAGCTGCTTTGTACCCAAGCACAGTTAGGGCAGGATTGCATGTCCCTGTGGGAGCATTTTGTGATGCTCCTGTGAGGAGGAGGGGGGTTGCAGCAGTTGGAGAGAAGAGTACAGTAGAGCAAATCTGCATAGTCCTTCATTGATGTTCAAAGTTAACCAGCCTGGACATTAGTTCTCAATGTCGGCAAAGTTGATATCATGGTGTGTGGCGCTACATAGTACATTTTCTGTCTCCATCTTTCTGGTTCTTGTACCTTTTTAGCATAAATCTATGGCACCCCAAACCAAAAATTTGGATTGAATACAATTTACCTCCAGCTTGCAGAAAGGATCCCCTTGATATAAGGTAAAAATAATCAAAAAGGCTCAATAGTTGGGAAGGGAGCTTATTCGGGAGTAGTAATGTTCTTCTTGCCAGTTAAAGGTATTTTTTAATTTCTTACACACATTGTAAGAAGGGTTTTAGAGACACCTGCACTTGCTAAGCTTCTTAAACTACAGCAAGATAAAATATATATTTTAATTGAATGACTGCAATTTCTTCTAGATGACTGAAAGTATTTGCTTGATATGTCTTGAAGATAGACTAAGACATGAGCACAACACTAAAATGACAAGAATGTGAAAGAAATATTGAAACACTACTGAAATAGATTCAGACATGTAAATTATCGACATGACAAATTGTGCTTAGTCTTGTCATGTAGTTGCATAAGATATTTCACCTGGAAAAATGGCTAATGTTTATGTAAGATGTTCGTCTGGTGAAAATTATTCAAACAAATTGCTCTAAGCTCTGCTTTGGATTCTACTTGATAAACATTTAATCACAGAAATAGATTATTTTCATATACCCAGAAGCTTGGTGAATAAAACAGATCAACATACTTTCTGCACATTTTCCTGTAGCTATATATTTAAATGAATTGAAAGGAGGGTACCCTTGATATAGATGTGATAGAGAGAGCTGTTTTCCTGTGTATCGTGTTTTGTTTTCATATAGCCAGTTTATTCTCCCTTTCACACCACCAGCACATTATCCTGCTCCATCTGCTGCCAGGAGACAGAGCCAGGTATTTATGGTGGGCATAAAAAGTGAGTGCATTCCCTGTCACCTATAGCCCAAGATTTACTGCATATTTGACAAACACTCTGAATAAAACAAGGAGTGTTCAGTTTGTATAAGAGTTTAGATCCTGTCTGTTGTGCAAGCTCCCGGCGGATTGCACTGTTAGTACATGTGTGTGCTTCTCGATCTGTACGTACGCCTCCCTGCTGAGTGGAAATGTGTTGATCTATCTGCTTGTGGTGCTGCATATGTGTCTGTATGCCTGTGTGTATTTTTGGGCATGTGTGCGTGCAGTGAATCTGCCTGCTCGGAAACACCAGCAACAGATAACAGATGGTCCCCCTGCATTAGAAGTGTTTTATTTCCCCGAGGAAGCCAGATATGTCAAAAATAAGCATGTGCAACATTAGTCATTTGGAATATTCATGCCCCTGCCGTCCGACGGTTTCCTTTTTACAGCCAAAACACCACCAGCCCAAATCTCCCAAGAAAGAGGGGGGAAGATGGGGGGGCAAAGAAAGCGGTCATCAGCTGAGCTGATAGGAAGGAAAAGGCCGAGGCCCTTCACTTTGGTTTAACATTGGACGTTTATTGCTCAAGCTTTTTTTTTTAGCTTGCTGATCCATGATTTAAACTGGGTTACAGTCTGTGGATATTTTCACATCAAGAATCGTCCCCCTGTCTCTATTAAGGACAGTAATATGCACACATGTTTATGTGCCGTTTTGGCAAAAAAAACTCTTTAATCTGCATCAAGCTGAAAACCCTCAATGTTTCAGACTTTCTTCCTCTAACCTATTTATAGCTCCATCTTTCTTTTTCATTTATATCTCTAGCTGGCTTACATCTCTGAAGCTATAATCTCTTTTATCTTCCCTTTGTTTAAGCAATCAAGCCCATCTTCTCACAACTGAGAGCGGTCACTGTTCTTGTCCTTGGTGGAAGACTGGTACTTTTATCATTATTATCAAGCCTCATTAACCGTCTATATATTTGGAGGTTTTTAACCCTACTAGGAACGTACGGCATCCATTTTTTCCTACCTTAAAAAACAAAAAATAAAACATGAATCGTGAGAAGCACGTTATACTCTCCTTGGTCCCTTGTGTTCAGGGTTAATTCATGGCAGCGTGCATGAATGATGGGCTGAGAGAGGGAGGGAGAGAAAGTTACAGCAATAAAAAGAAGGTGGAAAAGCTACTAACAGGAGTATGGTGCTTATCGCACAAATGCAATATAATTTATTCAGGAATATGCAAATCCAACAATCACTCTGCCTTGTTTACCGAAGGGACCTGCTGATTCAGAGACTGAAAGGGAAAGAGAGGCTGCCAGAGACGCCGACCTACAGTGTAGACACTAAGGCAGCCAACACTATCTCATTTTACTGGTTTCTTTAAAATGAGGTGTGTCGGGCAATTCCTTTCCTATTTACTAGATACTATAACCTTCACATTTAGTCTAGTTATGCTGGCTTATTGACAAAATGTGTTACGCAGAGCTTTTGGATGTTTTTCCCTCTGCATACCTCCTCTAAAGGTGTTTGAAAGCTGTTTGAAAACAGCTTTATAACTTAAAATTGATAAGAAAATATAATTTCATTACTTAGATCAGAATTAAAAATAGCTCAGAATTAAAAATTAAACTAGGTTTCCTTTGCATATCTATGTGCCTGATTTGTCTTGTTTGGAGACATGTCTAATGATAAAATAATCTTCGTCTTTTGGCTTTTACCTCGCAGGGGTCACCAGATCAAGTCATTTGTTTCCAGCTAATCCTAAATTCTGCATCTTACGTTGTCCCCCCTGCTATCTTCATGTTCTCTACATCCATCTATAAATCTATGGTGGTCTTCCTTTAGGCCCTCTGTCTGGCAGGTCCAACTTCAACTGTCTATCATCTCTTCTTTTATCTCCAAAACATCTAGCATTAGCTGACCCTATGATGTACTCATTCTTGAACTTATCTGTCCTTGTTTCTTTCAAAGAAAACCTCAGCAGCTTCTTGGCTTTTGGTGGTAGTGGGAACAGCACACTGAGGAGTGTCTACCTGGGTCAAAAGACTAGGCAAGCAACCCGCGTTGAAATGACCTCGGCTCTGATCAGGATGCTATGCAAAAACTAGACTTGGGTTGACACGCTAAATTATGTCATACCATTTAGCGCAATGTACAGACGTTAACACACCACGCCAGTAACTTCTAACAAGCCGAGACAACTTGTTTACATTCAATAAACATGGCGCAGTGCTGGTAACAGGTATTTGGAAAGATAATAGAGCAAAACAATAAAGAATATTGACTATGCCCTAGGGTTGTCACGATACTAAACTTTTCAACTCGATACCGATACTAAGGAAAATACTCGATACTGTTTTCGATACCACGAGGATAAAAACAAAGACTCCAAAATTCTACAGAAATATTTTCATTAATAAATAAAAAACAATAAATAAATACAATAAAGGTTGTATGCTGTGCACAATATTAAGCAAGCTTGATAAAAAAACGTATAAAATTAAAATTAAGTGTTCCTTCCTTGGCTATGCTTCGCACACATAACAATGACACTAGCCAAACCGGTTAAGAAACAAAAATAATTCTCAGCAGCTGCACCTCTTACAAAAAAAAAGTCTGAAACTGAAAAGTGCACAGCATTATTCAATCACACAGTGTTCTGAATGTGCATTGTCCTCTATTCTGCACTTTAGATGAATGACTGCTTAGGTGCCACTGGTGGTGGCACTGTATCGATACTTTTAAAAACGAGTATTGTATCCGGATACAACATTTTAGTATCAATACTTTTTTGAGTTTCGATACTTTTGACAACCCTACTATGCCCTGGCTCCCGTCTATGTTGCTCTCCATTATATACTTCCCTGATTTCAATCAAACTGTTGACATCATCAATGCTCACCCAGCTTGATGCCTTCATTAGACAGGCAGTGCTCTAATGACGGCTGGTCGTGCTGGCAAGCAGGGGGTCAGACTCTGCTTTTTGGCCAAATGGGGAAAAAATATTGTTAGCAGGTTTAACCCAGTTTTGAAAAACATGGGTTTTTAGTGGGAAAGTGGCTTAAGTGAAATGGATTTATGGTGCATTCCATTGGATTCAGAGGTCAAAATACCATGTCCAACAGTATTTTATATCATTGTTTTAGGTTCTGACAGTGGCCAGTGTGGCCATGTAGAACAGATGGAAACTGCAATCACAATCACCTTGGAGATTATGTTACTCTGACTTATGAGTTCCGGTCTGAATTAATTTTTATTTCCTGGAGGTGACTGACAATGAACCTGCTTCATTCCCATCCGAAGGCTATGGTAGAGAATTATGGTGAACTCTGAGGTAATATCTTCCTTTTGAACTGGCTAAAGAATGTATGGAGCTCTTAGATAATCATATTTTAGCAGAGATCCTCCCTGAACTAAACTGCGCCTCAAAAGCAAGACATTTCTAACTGTAACTTTTGGTAACCAAGCTATACCTTATTACCACATCTGGTAGCTATTTACTGTACCTTAATATTGAGATCTGAACATTTTTATTTTTCCTTTTGATTTTTCAACAAGCTATTTTAGATGTTTGGGCAAATGGTGTGTTCTGTTGTACCTTGAAATAAGTCTTTGAGCAAAGATAATCCTGCTGTCAGCACTGTTTTTAGCAATCTGTTAGTGACTCAATGGTAAAGGTCGGATAAAAATCTTGGTCACTGAGGCAGTTCCACTCGCTGACAATAATAATGTAGTATTTGCAAGAACTGCCACTTCCAGATTAAACTCAACCTGGGCCCAAGAGCAAGCTGATGTAAGATTTCATGTTGAACAGGATTTTGGTCAATTTTCTGTTCACTGAATGCCCACTATTGGAGTTTGACCTTCAGAGGAGAAATGGCAGATTTATTAAAGTTTGCCTTGAGCCAAAAGGAAAACAAAACAGAGGTCACCAAGCTGAATGCGACATTGTCTGATTCTTTTTTTTTTTTGGTTTGTTTTTCAGTTATCTTTTGGGTTGATCTTGGTATTATTAGGACTTTTTATTTGGACTTGGATATTTAGTGGTAGCTGTGGACAACTAAGATAATAAAGTTCTTCTGGAATTTATGTGAATATCTACTAATAATGATGTGAGAAGATGCACAGAAACAAAACAAAAAACTGACATACAAGCAGAAGCAATTAGAGGTTGTGTTTCAGATGTTTGAGTGTGGCCTTCGAGGACCAACTTCCGCAATACCAGGTATACTGTAGATGAAGTTACTGCAGCCTCTCATAGATTATAACCTATTCAAAGGTATAAACATTGGACAGGGTTATTCTAAAGAAACTTTCAGGCAGTTTACTCAAATAATTTTGGCAAGTGCCAACATTCAAATGATCATATCTTCTCGTATTCATTTCCATTTTCACGTTTCGCATCGTTGGAAAACCCAGCTTCCTCTCTTTCAACGTCTTTAAATCACTAAAAATAGCCCCTTGTGGACTTGTAAATTGATTTGCCATGGACTGTTACAATTATTAGAAGCAAAAGCATTCTTCCATTTTTTTTTCTTCTTGATGCAGCCTGCGAAAGTATATAGGCAGCCCAATTTTAATTATTCAACCACACTGATATTCTGCTTGGCCATATTCTGGCACTAGCAACTATGGATCAGTTCAAGAAATCCTTGGATGAAAAGATTATAAAGTCTCATTTTGCATTTGCAAAACTGGCCCATTGGCAAGATAGTTTCTCATTAGATATGCCTGTCAGACTTCACTGGAATAAAACTCACAAAGAAGTACATAGCCAAAGTAAAGCAAATCACAGAGACAGGTGGTTGCCAGCATTTTAATGATGCTTTTCTCCCACACTGAATTGTTCTAACTTTTACAGTTGGACCTGGAGCTGTGACAAGCTAATGTTACTATATACAAATACCTATAGGAGGCACTTATCACTTCAAGTTTGCACTCTGAGCATGACAAATTATTTTGTTTGCTGATATGTTGTGCAATTTATGAAGGGAATAGTTTCTATTTATG